ATTTATGAGTCTCTTCTGTTTTGTCCCCTCCCTGTTTTTATATGATTTTTGTTTCCCTTCCCTTATGTTCATCTGTTTTAGTCTCTTAAAGTCCTCATATGAGTGAAGTCATATGATTTTTGTCTTTCTCTGACTAATTTCACTTAGCATAATACCCTCCAGTTCCATCCATGTAGTTGCAAATGGCAAGATTTCATTCTTTTTGATTGCCAAGTAATACTTCATTGTATATATCTACCACATTTTCTTTATCCATTCATCCATCGATGGACATTTGGGCTCTTTCCATACTTTGGCTATTGTCGATAGTGCTGCTATAAACATGGGGGTGCATGCGTCCCTTCGAAACAGCATACCTGTATCCTGTGGATAAATGCCTGGTAGTGCAATTGCTGGGTCATAGGGTAGTTCTATTTTTAGTTTTTGGGGGAACTTCCTACTGTTTTCCAGAGTGGCTGCACCAGCTTGCATTCCCAGCAAATAAGTTTTAAACATCGTTGTTATTTGCAAGGCACTTGGGTGGCTCAGTCGGTTGAGTGTGCAACTTCAGCTCAGGTCATGATCTCACGGTTGGTGAGTTCGAGCCCCACATCAGGCTCTGTGCTGACAGCTCAGAGCCTGGAGCCTGCTTCAGATTCTGTGTCTCCCTTTCTCTCTGCCCCTCCCTTGTTTATGCACTCTCTCTCTCAAAAATAAATTAACATGCAAAAAATTTTAAAAATACATTCAAAAAATAAAAAATGGTTCTTACAACAGCAGTTCATTTCTGCGATTCAGTATTTCCCTTGCTGTTGTGCACCTAACCAAGATACAGATTAGTGTGTGTTGAGGAGGATCCAGACGATAGGCATCATCTGGAAGCAGTGATTCGATTTGAGATTTCAATTTATCAAGACAATGTCATTATGCTGTGTGCTTTAAACTTACAACTCTGTGCTGATAAAACTGCACCTGCATTTTACCTGTCGGGGGGTCTGCTCATGGTTTCCTTTGAAAACAGAGCTCCTTTGTTAGAAACCTCCGAGTCACGCGGCCAGGCGCCGGCCGAGGGCTTCCATCCGAGGCTGACCCTCTGTGGCTCCGTCCTGCTCTCTGCCACAGGTGGAGGCTGCCTGGCTGGAAGGGCGAATCCGGCAGGAGTTCGACAAGCTTCGCGAGTTCCTCAGAGTGGAGGAGCAAGCCATCCTGGATGCCATGGCCGAGGAGGCGAGGGAGAAGCAGCGTCTGGCTGAAGGGAAGATGAAGCGGCTGGCAGAGGACACAGAGGCTCTGGCCCATGAGATTGAGCGGCTGCAGGTGGAAATGAAGGAGGATGACGTTTCCTTTCTCATGGTGAGGGGCTTGCCGCCTGGCTTCAGTGACAGGGACCAGGTGTTCAGGAGCCGGTGGGGAGCCGGAGGCCCCCGGCCCCGGCCCACCCCGTCTTCCCATAGTCTCGGGGTGCTGGGCCCTCGGAGCCCTCGGAGGAAGTTCTCTGTCCGTCAGGAGGCCAAGAGGGTTTTCATCAGAGTTCACTTCTCTCTGCCTCTGTCTCCTTTCCTTCTCCCCCCCCCTTCCTCTCTTGTACTCACTCTTGCTCTCTTTTCCTTTCTTCTCTCTCTGCTCCAAATGGAGTACTTGGTAAATAAGCTTTTTATTTTGGATTAATTTTAGATGTATGGAAAAGTTGCAGGGATAGCCCTGAGTGCCCCCGTATGCCTCTCCTTGTTTCTCCCATTGTCGACACCTTACATCATCTTGTGGCACATTTGTCCGCGGGAAGCTGACCTGGGTGTGTTGTAATTAACTAATGTCCAGACTTCTTTGGAGTCACCACTTTTTGCATTACTGTCCTCTTTCTGCTCCAGGGTCCCATCCAGGGGCTCACAGTGCATTTAGTTGTCCCGTCTCCCAATCTCCCCTGGTCTGTGACAGCTTCTTATTTTCTGTTTTTCATGACCTTGGCAGTCCTGAGGAGTTCTGGCCAGATGGCCTGTTCTCCCACCTGGGCTTGTCTGATGTTTTTCTCATGATTAGACAGGGGTTATAGGATTTTACAAAGAAGACAAAATGGAACATTCTAGAGTTATACAATTATTTTAACTTTTTAATGTAAATATGACATTTTGATATTCTCTATTGTTTTCTTAAGAAAAGGGTGACTTTGGGGCACCAGCGTTGGCTCAGGCAGTTGGGTGTCAGACTTCAGCTCAGGTCATGATCTCACAGTTGTTGAGTTCGAGCTCCGTGTCAGGCTCTGTGCTGACAGCTCGGAGCCTGGAGCCCGCTTTGAATTCTGTGTCTCCCTCTCTCTCTGCTCCTCCCCCACTCACACTCTGTCTCTCTCGCAAAAAGAATACACATTA